ATTGTGTGTTTATTTTTCTCTTGATAGACGTATCTTGAAAGAACGCACTTATGTCTGTATATGAATTTGCTTGTATGTTCTTTGATATTTTATACATAGATGTTTTTATTCGCTAAATTTTTGGTCCGGGATCCAATGATTTGAGTTATTGTGCATATAAGATCGTATGAGCATAAATAAAACTCTTTATGTACAAAGACCATAAAATGAATTTCTCCATCTACATGACGTTCATCTCTGCATGTCGGTTTCACTTGAATTCTCAAATTCAACGTGTCAGTCGTAAACCACTCAGAGTCCCAACCCAACTAAAACGCATAGCTTCAAGACTTTGACCACTTATTCCTTCGAATCTATGAAAATGGAGAAAATCAGAGCTCCTTATGGGTCCTGAAAACCCCCCATCACCGCCGAGTTGTCTCCGGCGCCTCCAAGCCACTCGGTGACACTGCCGTTGATTCCCTTGGCCACCTCTTCTGGCTCGAATCACGCCCCCATGCTCGGTATCTATATCTATCCAACCATCTATCATTTCATCCTCCCCTTTACTTAACGGTAGAGGTGAATTTGGTAGAACACCCATCAAGCCATGGTAATATATATTTCGTTATCTAGGTGGACTTGGAGAAGGTAGATGGCGAACGGCTATGTATTACTGGACTCTGCAGGTGGTTATACAACGTTAGCTGCTCTTGCTTTTAGAGACACCTTAAATGCGTGAGCTTCGTTGTATGGCGTGAGTGCTTAACTCTTTAAGTAGTTTACTATTCATATCTTTGTCTCAGTAAGTATCCTTTTATATAACACAGTATACCTATATCTATATTCTATACGAAAACCGACAATTATTTTTGTCACGTTGATGAACAGATAGCTAACTTCACAATGCTGAGGTGAGGGCAGAAACTCACAGATTTGAATCTCACTGTATCGATAATCTTGTTGGTAAGTCAGACAATGAAATTTTATGCTTTACTTTGTTGAGGTCATTCGAAATTGAAGCAAACATAAGTGGTTGCAGGTAATGAAAAGGATTACTTTGTTGAGGTCACTGTATCGATAATATTATAGGGAATGCAGGCTGAGGCTGAGAGCATTAAGTTCTCAACAAATGGTCGTCTTTGCACGTTTAGTCGGATGCTTCAAGGTTGCACATGAGATTACCCCAATCAGAATTGATGACTTCGATTAAGCATTTATTAAAAGAGGTGCCTATGCGCCCCTTTGTAATATGTATGAGGTAATATGTCTGCAGATTTTGTTTCGTTATTTGGCTTCCATGCAATCTGGATGAGAAAAATTTGCTAGATTTTAAAAAGGGTTATTTAGATACAAGCTCATGCAACACTTATTTTCTTGACAAAATTCCATTTCATTTTAAACATCTAAATAAAACCCAAATTTGAAGTAGACTGCCATGTAAACAAATAAATACCTATTATTTTCAAACCATTTACAATTGTGCCACAACACTCTAATTATGTTAATGAATTTAATTATCCATCATAATTGTGGGTAAGAAGTGCCTTATTAAAATTATTTACTTTATACTTCTCTTACCATCATATGTTTCATTTCTTTTATTTGTTTGACAATCATTGTAGGTAAATTATTTTGCATGTATGTATTAGGCATATTTTGTTAAAATTATATATATGCATGCAAAGAATTTACCTATATTTTTATATAAAATAATATGTAATTAATTAATTTTGAATCAACTGGCTAAAAAAAATTTATTTATTTTGTAGGTAAATTATTTTTCATGTGAAATTACATATATACTAGCCACATTTTGTTATTATTATATAGAGTGTGCAATCAATTGACATTCTTTTATTTTGTAGATAAATTGTTTTATATATATATTTTTTTGCAAAATATTGGTATTTAATTAATTTTGAATAAAAAATATTTTTTTATTTTGTAGGTAAATTATTTTGCATATATCATTACGTAAATTACTAGGAACTTATATTGTTATTATATATATGTTGTGCAAAATAATTCACCTATGTTATATTTAAAATATTGATAATTTTGAATAAAATCACTTTTTTATATTTGTAGAATATATTAATTTACCTGTTAGCATCATGTGAATACCACTATATAAGGAAAATTGGTATCATGTAAATTTTTGTTATTAAATGCATAAGAATCATGACATTTAAATTTTTTCCCAAATCCCCATAAGGTATTTGAAGACATTTAATTGAATGAAATAATGTAAAATAAATGTAGATAATAAGTGAGACCCAAAGTAAGTGTTATTAGGGGTAATTTAGACATCCAAAAATACAAATTTTGCCAAGTCAACCTTAATTATGGATATTGCTTAGTTGGAGTCTAGTCATTGGGTTTTTGTTAGAGAAATTTACAATGACGGGTTTTAGTTAAAGAATATTGAATTTCAAGGGGTGTACTCATATTTTCTGTTTAAAAATTGAGAAATTAGGTTCTCATCCCTCTTTTTTTAAAGGAAAGCTAGTAAAAGGGTTTGAAAACTTTGAGTTTTAACTAAAATGACAAAATAAAGGGTAAAATGAATAGTACCAGGATTGACTTTAACAAAAAGCTCCCGGTACTGTTTACTTTAACGAAAAACCACATTTTTACACTAAAAAGTCAATTCTGGTACTATTCAATTTACCCTTTATTTTGTCATTTTTGTTAAAATTCAAAGTTTTCAAGCAATTTTCATTAATTTTCCTTATTTTTAACCCCATTGATTGAAACCTTATTCCTTTTTAATTAATCAAGGTCTCTTGGTTTTAATAAACATCATTAATTATTTCAATAATAAAATATTTTACATATCAAGATAATTAAATTTTATTTCTAAATTATTCATTTAGTGCTAGAAACGTTACATTTGATATATTTATATTTATGGCTAAATTTTGTATCATATATTTTTATTTTTAGTTTGTACCCATTTTAATTTGCAACCCTTTTTTAGAATTATGCCAATTTTCTATTCAGTTTTAGTTTGTACCCATATATTAAAATTTTTTTTTGTGTCCATATTTTTCAAACTTTTATTTATACTCATATTTTTTAAAACCTTTTATTAAACTGTACCCATAATTAATTAATAATGTACCCATTTGTCTTTAAAAATGTTCCACTTTGTTATATGTAAAATGTACCCATTAATTTTTTTTATATGAAATGTATTGTAACATCTCACATCGACTAACGGAGAGGGGGTGATGTGCCTTATATATACATGCCCACCTCCATATAGCGTGAGGCTTTTTGGAAGCTCACTGGCTTCGGGTTCTATCGGAATTCTGAAGTTAAGCAAGTTCGGGCGAAAGCAATTCCAGGATGGGTGACCCACTGGGAAGTTCTTGCGTGAGTTCCTAGAAACAAAACCGTGAGGACGTGGCCGGAGCCTAAAGCGGACAATATCGTGCTACGGCATAGTCCAAACTACCTATAGATATTTGTTAACTTTCTTTTCAACAATTAAGGACAGAGTCCAAACTCTCTCGAACAATTTCATGTAGTAAGTTTGCAAATGATCATGTATCAATAGTTGGGTTATTTTAATGAGTTGTCTCATTGGTTATAGAGATAAGTTCGATACAAGTTTTTAGGGATTTTAAAGTTATTCAGGGGTCTATATGTCGCACCTTGAGATTTTTTATTGTTCTCCGAAGGTTCCGATACTTGAATTTTTTTAATTGTCAAATTTTTAGTCAAAAAATACCGAACTTAAAAAATTTAACAGTTAAAATGACGTCTGAAACCATATAATTTTTTTTATCGAACTCTTTTTAATCACTTCCTTAAAAAACAAGAACATATGACGTATTGACTTCTAGATGGCTGAATTAGGATAATCAAATATGAGGTCTATCACTCTATGTGACAAAACTGAATTTCGATGGGGAAGAGGATCCTCTCCTGAGCTCTGGATGGGGATCTTCCTGACCAGTTCATCTGGACCGTTTAAATTTAATCCAACGGCTCCAAACAAGAAGATCTTCTAAAAGTTATAATAATTACAACCGTTGGATTAAATTTAAACGGTCCGGAGGATCCCCATCATGAGCTCAGGAGAGGATCATCTTCCTTTGGATGGGTCTATGTCAAACCGTGTTGTATGTCTGATACAACATGTCCTTTTCTTTTATGGCATCACCAAATATTTTTGTGGTCAGTATTCTGATATTTTTCCCTTTTTTTTTTTGGTCAAATGGATTGGGTGTGGTAGGGTCTTGGAATTATTGCAGGGAGTCATTCCTAGTGTGCACAATAAAGGTGTTAGTTCTTCTGTAAAATGGAATTGTAAATTCTCACTACAGTCAGGTGCAGCCTGCTTATGAACTCTTAGCTTGTTGCTTCCCTTAGGTTTTCTGAAATCATACTTTCTTATAAGATAAAGTGTTCATATTCGATTTCATTAAAGTGCCAGAGGTTTTGTAGTTAAAGTGATTAAGAATAATTAATCCTACTTTTGAAGTTAGATACAATAAGATTGAATTTTGATTTGAATTCGGATTGAATCCGACTTCTAATCCAGTAACCAAATACGATTTGAATTTGATAATCTTCGAATATGGAGTAAGGCTGATTTATGGTAACGAACAAAAGTTATTTTTTTTTGTCAAACACAAACAAAAGTTATGGCAAATTAATAAATACCAGTTAGAAGATGGCAAAAATCTCATACTCTCTAATAGGCTTTGAGAAGGAAACTCAAAACAGCGGACAATTATGGGATTTGATAATCTATGCTTCTTCCAGCATGTAAATAACTTTGAGATAAAACAAAGAAATTAAGAATTGTATATATACAAAGTAACGGGGCAATCATATCTTGATTTTTATGATTTTTCACTGCACACCACTAACTACACTCCTCTCATATATGTATTCTACATTGGTAATTAACAAAAATAACAAATTTAATTACAACAAAAAAGGGATAAAAAAACATAAAATTTTCTTAAGAATAAATCAATCATCAATTGGGCAATTGGGGATAGTCATTTTCTTGAAAGAGACCCAAAGCCATTGGCAAGGGCACTGACTGCGGGATTGAAGGCCAATCTACCCAAAATGCCCTGCTTGTAAGGCAAGAAGGTTTTCTTCTTCATATCATTAGACGCTGCTTTGTTCACAGTGTAATGCAACTCGTGAGCTGAAACTGGCGGCCCTTTTCTCCTCGAGCTCGAAACCGAGGCCGGGCTGTCTATTGACCTGAAGCTGGAGTACTTCCTGAATGGATCTTTATCTGTGGCTCTTCCCTCCGATGCGCTTCGAAACAACAAAAAATCCTTCAGTTTCCATTTTCTTGAAGCCTTAGAAACTATGCAGGATGTAAACATAGCTGTAGGAGCTAACTGCTTGTTGTTTTGTTGTGGCTGCTGTTGCTTCTGTTGATTTTGTTTTTCTTCTTCTACCCATTGGTACTCTGAAACCCTCAAAGGTGACACCGATCTCGTCGCTCTTCTGCCTGAAATGGAGGATGACAAGGCTGCTGGAGCTCTCTCTCTACCTCTTTGTTGTTGTTGATCGCTTCTTCTCTCGCTTCTTCTTGTGTAGTTGCCCAATTGGGTCGGGGACGATGACCCAAATGGATATTCTTTACCCTTTTTCCGTCTAGGCGAAAGAACCTTACGGAAAATGGATGGAGGAGGTGGAGGCTTATTAAAGGGTCTTATGACGCCGCCATCGAAAAGCTCTTCAGCTGAGAGGGAAGTTCTTTGTACCTCTTCACCAACATCAAAAGCAAAGTCATCGAATCCAAAGTCCTCCTCACGTTTATGTGATTTCGGTGATCTTGGGGTGGCTGCTTGAGATGCTGTCTCATCATCTTTCCAGTTACTCGTGTTGGAAAATTCCTCAAAATCCCTATAAAACTCGGACATCCGAGTTGGGCTTGTTGGTGCACTCATATAGAAGTCTCCAAACCGCCGTGGTGTCGAAGGTGCAGTCACAGACGGCGAGGATCGAGCGCTGTTAAAATCGAAATCCATGTCTGCTCTACTTGTTATCAGCACCTCCATTGATATGATCCAATCTATAGTTTGCTTTGCTTCTTGTGTTGGGAGAGTTTGGTTTTTGAGAGGGACTGGAAAATGAAAAGACAAAGGTGAATAATATATATGGAGTACAAGTAGAAGAAGGAACGTAGAAATGAGAATAAAAGGTAGAGATTGTTGACCAATGACCATCACAGTAAGACTTGAATTAGATTAATGTGGGGCTGCCTTTTAATACTCTGTGGTTAAACATGGTTTATTTTCTATTACCTTTTTTTTTTTTGGGTAATGTTTATTTTCTATTATTACTTGTGCTATAAATCACTAAAACATCATATGCCAAAGTCTCATCATTCCTTTTTTGTTTTTGTTTTGGTTTTTGTTTTTTTTTTTTTTTTTTACCGTAGGAATTTTCCTTAAAACATTAATAGAGAGCAACATTACTTAAAAATAAACGCGGATGTTAAACTCTATCGTTCATTATTATATGTAATTGGTAATATAATACATCAAATGATTCTTATTTTTGATATCCATAAAATTTTCTTTATATAATGGTGAGGTTAATTTATATTAAAGTATAACTCATGGCGCAATGAATGGCATCACTCATTTCACCTGTGTTTCTTTGCCTCCAAGTTTAATTGGTTTGACCACAATGCATGCGGTCAACGTAGTCGATTGCTTTCACCTGAGATGTGGGATTAATTATAACCATAAGTTTGGTATGTGTTTATAAAGCCCAACCAAATGATGTGAAGAAAATATGAAATGTTAGTATAATACGTCTTAATCATGGGAAACGTAACTAGGGTTGCTTGAGAAATATGGTAAAACACGTAACTTGGCTCTTTTTATTTATTTTATATGCTATTGGGTTTCCCGTTGAAGATGACGAAGAAGTAAAATTTAAGGAAAAACTAAAGTTAATTATGCAGATTAATTGGCATGATGATTGTTACCGCAATATGGTGGATGTATCGTAAATTAATTCATCCATATTTTTGTTTTGTTTGTAAATTCGGTTAATTCAATTGATTAGAGAATATTTTGTACCTTTGTACTTAAGTTCAAATTTCTCTCAATTTATAAAGTCCTTATCAAAAATTATATTTTTTTATTCGATTTTGATGCCCTCCGACCTGAAAGATTAGCTGAATTGATTAAAGATTTTGTTTGATGGCTTTATAAACGTGCCTAAAATCGCTCTTATTAAATCTCACTTCTAGAAATATTTGAAGCCTCATCAATTTTCTTGAGCCTAAGGGTGTGCTTATAATTCAACATCTAATAAGACTCCGATGTTGTTGGGTGCAGCTATATATCTTGCTTTGGGACCCAAAATATCTAAATGGTGACAAAATGTTGTACAGCTGACAAATTTAGCCGAATCTCAAGCTGTACATAAGCCCCTTTTGTTGATTTTTTGATGCAGAAAAACAAATTTGTTAGGGAAACCTTATCACCTTTTACACCTATCCAAATTTACCTCCAACAATTTTTGCTCCTCTCTATAATTTTCTTCAGTAACCTTTTCTTATTGTAAATTAAGGAGAAATACTTCTATAGCATCAATATATTGTCGTTGTAACATTTTTTTTATTATTGTAAATGACAGTTGCAAGTCTTTTCACATAATGACGAAGTATTGTGTCATATCTGTATTGCCCGCGAAACAAAGAGTGAGTCAAATTCTTTTTTCAATTCATGTGTCACTGGATGTTGCATGCAGTGCTGTCCACATTATAACTTGGTACAACAAATACATGTGGCCTTTGGTGAGGAACAAAAGATGCAAAAGCGCATGGCGGGGTTAGGGTCTTAGAAAGAGATGTAAAGTAGTGGTTGGGCAATGCAGCCGGCAGGCTGCATGAATAATGCTTTCAATATGTGGGTGCACGTTTGTGCCCATCCATATATTATTTTGATGCATATTGACAAGCATTTGCCGTCCAATATGCGCTCCCCCTTGTATAAACTTTAATACCTAATTTAGTAGGATTTTTGTGCTTATTTGTGAATGGTATAAACAAATGTTCTTTACTATTTGTATATAACTAAGTAGATCTTTGCTGATAAAGATATATGGAGACTAATTCTTAAAGAGTAATGTTCTTTCGCTATATTTATATTTTAAACGGATTTTTATCACAAATGGTCTTTGAGATTGATCAAACTCATCATTTTGGTTCCTCACTTTCTAAATCAATCAATGTTGTCACTGACATTCACTACCGCACAATTTGGTCCTTAAGTTAAGATTCCGTCAACTATTCTATTAGTTTGTATGTGGGACCCACAAATCTAATGAAATGGTTACACGTGGATTACACAAAATAAGGGTTTTTATCGTAAATGGTCCCTGATATTGATCTAACTCCTCATTTTGGTCTATGAGTTTCAAAAAAATCGATAAATTTGGTCCCTGATTTTCAATACCGCACATCAATTTAATCCTTCTGTTAAAGTTTCGTCAATATTTTTTGTCCCACTAATCCAATCATATGGCACCACGTGGATTAACTATAATAAACGTTTTTTTTTTAAGATTTAAAACTAAAAGTAAAATAAGAAACTAAAAACCAAAACTAAAAGAAAAAAAGGTCATCGTCATCTTCATCAGGGTATGGTCAAAAAGAAAAGGAAGGCACCATGACACCACTAAAGTAATTGGCCTCCTGAACTCACTTATCATTCTCTCTATTTGGTTATAATCCTATCAGTTTTGAATTGAATTTGGATTCCATTTTATCGAATTTAGATTGATTTTTTTTTTCCAATTGGGGTTGCGGGATCCGAGAAAAATGTCAGAGGGGAATACTCGTCCGTTGGTTCACTCTTAAAGAAAATAGTTTCTTATAGTTAATTCACGTGGAGCCATATGATTAGATTAGTGGGACCACATCAGCACACAAACGAAAAATATTGATGAAATTTTAACGGAAGGAATAAATTGATGTGCAGTAGTGAAAGTCAGGGATCAAATTTATCGATTTTTGAAACTTAGGGACCAAAATGAGGAGTTTGATCAATGTCAGGGATCATTTGTGATAAAAACCCTTATTTTGTGTAATCATGTGTCACCGTTTCATTAGATTTGTGGGTACCACATACAAACTAACAGAATAGTTGACGGAATCTTAACGGAATGACCAAATTGATGTGGGGTAGTGAATGTCAGGGACCACATTGATTGATTTTGAAAATGAGGGACCAAAATGATGAGTTTGATCAATCTCAGGGACCATTTGTGATAAAAACCCCAACAACATATATTTTTATATTATCAATTTGTGAATTTGAAATTCGCAAGTGTTGCCCTCAAGCGAGGAGCTATACCATGGTAGGGTGTTTCTTAAAAAATACTCGTAAGTAAATTTGTTTGATACAATTAAAAATCAAAATACGCTAACAATTATAGTAATAAACTACAAAGATTATTTATTAATAGAATAACGGCTAGAAATTGAAGGCTACATTTTGACTGATTTGTATCTAATGAATAACCAAACGCCCTATTTATAGAGCTAACCCTAATTCCTACTAGGCAAGTAAGCGAAACCCTAATCTTAGTAAGCAAGGGAACCAAAATTTAAGCACACAAGAAAACTCATAAAATACCGAACTACGCTTATATGATAAATTAACTTTTCCAAACCCCTCCCCCCTCCCCATGTCAAACTCATGGTACACACCATGAGTTTGCCAACATGAAGTCAGATGTTGATCGCCGATGTTGATGTTGATGGAGATGTCGATGGAGATTTCTGGATGCCGAAGCCATGAACATTCCATATGCATGTAGATTCAAAAGTTGTTGGGGTGTACGAAATTAAAGAAGGCATATGAATGCTCATCGTCTCTAAATGAACGAGGTTTTCGTATTTCACCATCAACGAAAAAAATAGAACTGATCACAAATTTTCAATGCAAGATTTCAATGCCAGTGGAAACTTCAAACAAACAAAACAGAAAATCCAATCTATCCCCATTTACACGTCACTTAAGTTGTGATCAGTCCAAACACTTGAGTAATCGTTGTGGTCAAGCAACAAAAACTTTTGCTTGAGCCTTTAAAGCAGCATGCAGCCCAACAGCTTTTCACTGTCAACCATCCCAAATTCGTTGATAATCTCAGATCAGGATTCTCTCCTAAGCCTAGGAGGTTGAGCCTTCTGAGCAAATCACACGGCCTGTTGGATCAAAATTCAACAGCTACAATTATTATAACTTTTAAAAAAGCCTCCAGTTTGTATTCAACGGTCTGTATAATTTGCTCAGGAAGCTTAGCCTCCTAAGTTCAGGAGAGGATCCTGATTCGATAATCTCGCATTGATTCAAAATAAAGTCAATAAGTTGCTCAACCGTTTAAGTATCTGAATTTTCGTGGACAGTTATATGCTCATGGAACCATGTGTGTGGCAAAGAATCTTCTTCAATTTTAGAGGTACGTATAAATTTGAAAATTCCGTCTTAGTTGCATAAAACAAATGCCAAATGGGATTAAGAAAAAAGAAAAGACCATCTAGAAGTGAAGACAGCTCATGGAGTTGAATCGTTGGCTGACAAAAGTAATATCAAAATGTGCATGACACGCACATGAGTGCACATCTATTCCCTAAAAATTTAAATCAAAACAAGGCATCGTAATCGTACGTACGTATGCAAATTAAAAAAAAATTCTTAACTCATGACAAGGTACAAATTGACACACAACCCATAAAATAAACATGCCCCGGCCCTTCAAGGTTCATGTATGTACAAGAAGCTAGCTAACTTCGAATAAAATAAAAAATAAAAAAATTTAACAAGAACTAGAAGCTCCTGTGTTTGTAGCCTACATGGTGCTCATTAACAACTCTTGGCTTTGCTTTGTTCTTTCTAATATTATTTTTAAACAAGCGATATCGAGAAAGAAGATAGTTTGACGTATGACCTCGAGTACACGGGTTAACACTTTGTTCTCTTAACCACTTGTTGCAAATAGTGGCTTTGATTTAAGCAAGCTAATTATACATTGAAGAAATGAAAATGATAATCAAACACTTTTTTCTCTCATGATACACTCTCGTTTAATTATGCACCTTATTTGATTTATTCAATCTGATAATTGTGCATGCGATAACCTTTGGCTTGTTGTGGAGCGAGGCTAGTGCCTCTCACTCTTCAATAAGAGAGTATTATCCACGAATTAATAAATAAAATAAACTAATAGAGATGATTAGTTGGGTTCATATCAATTCATTAGGTCAACTTGCCTTTTCAAATAATAAACCATTTGGCAAGCATCTTAATACTAAACAACAGCCTCTCTCGCAACTCCCATGCATGAAATTGTTTTTTGTTTTCATGGTGTTCATTTTGGCGTATAAAACGTGCTGAATATCATTGGATTCGTCTATGTTTTCAGTTCCCTGTCGTTAATATAAATCATGAAAATGTCAACCCTTAAAAATTTGTTAGGAATTGGGATTGATCTAATCTAGGGTTCAGCCAGCCCATGTTCTAAATTATGTCTTCTCCAAGCCTCTTGAGTTGGTGATCACCGATTGGTGCTGTTGCTGCCATGCATCCTATTGTTAGCCCCCATTATTGGTTCACCTCTACTACTTTTGGTATTGTGTGATTCGGCTTCATAAACTGGTTATATGTTCAGTCGAGAAATATTAGTTGCAAATTACGATCCCAGAAATATGCAAATCTAACTCATTGAAGGTCACAAAACAAAGTTTAGCGTTGCGACAGTGAAGGAAACCCTAGCTAAAGATAAAAAGAAGTCGCTCACCAGTTACACCCTTGCCGCTAACCTATGACTTGACTTTCCTCTAGGACCACATCTCATGTTTCCATTTGATTTGTTTGTGGTATTGCGATATTTTTGGACGTGGTGGTGAATGATGATTTCTACTTCGATGGCAGTGTCAAAGTGTCAAGAGGCATCGCAACTAAGAGCATACATTGTTTCAAATTAGGGTGTTTTAACGAAATACTCCCGGTACTATTCACTTTTAACGAAAAACTACATTTTTACTTTTCCTGACTACTATTCACTACACATTTATTTGTTCTTTTTCATTAAAACTACAGTTTTTTTTTTTTTTAATTTTTCGTTAGTTTTCCTTCCAAATTACGGGTTAAACCTTCAAGACAAATCCCATAAACGTTGCAATTGACAGAAATGACATAATTCTCATCTAGAACGTTCAGATTAGTCACTAGAGAAAGTTTACCAATATTTAGCAAAATGTTTGTTCGTGGTTGCGATGTCTCTTGCAATTGGGTTGAATAATCATTTTGTCCCTCCTTCAAATTGTGTTGCTTGAGCATTACAATTTTTTCGATTCAAAATAATATTATATTTATGGGGTGTGATATCCACACACCATTTTTTACTTCTCACACATCTTTTAATTTTCGGCTGTCGGATCAAATGAATTGAAGAAGATCAACAGACAGAAATTAACAAAGGGTGTGTCAGAAATAAAAAGAGATGTGTGGATAGCACATCCCTATATTTATATCGTTTTTTATAAAAAAAAATATAACAAAAACAAAAAAAGTACACACATATCAAACCGTGATTTATGAGTTTAACTCTGTCGATTAGAAGGAAAAATAAGAAATCCAAAACCATTCAGCTCCAAGTTTCTTTCAAGTCATTGCAGCTGTTCCTCATCATGTTCACTCTGTGAATGGACCCATAAATGATAAATATATGTACCTAAAAAAAGGGACTCTAAACACAGTTGTCTTGTATAGCAGTAGGAAGATACACAGTCCAAATGTCTTTCAAAAAGATATTGGTGCAGTAGCCCTGCAACGGTTAGGTTTGGGCCTCAAACGGTAGCCGTACTATTTGTTTGAGTACCAACTTTTGACGCCAACAAAATGCTGTGGGGCGATCCAGATTTGTCACGGGTGTTGTGCTATTTCAGAAGACAGAATATCTCCAAGCCTGAAGTCGGCAGGTACAGAAAATCTAACTATTCTGTATGTTCTTTAGTAAAGGGTGATAATTGTGGTAATTTTTGTTAATATTACTCAACATCCCGCATTAGAAAAATAACATATTTTGCTATGATTTAAGAGTTTTGGGGGAAGGGATTATAAGTCGGTGTTGTAATGGCACGTCCTACTTATGAGCTCTTAAAAATTGGTATTAATTAGGGGATTGTGAATCCGTCTTAAAAGAAGGAAATGGTTGCCACTAGGTGGGACGCCGGAGACACTGGTATGGAAGGGTGGTGTAATATTCTAAGTCGGTTTTGTAGTGCACGTTTTACCCATGAACTCTTAACAATTTGTATCAGAACCTGATTTCGAGTTAAAGAATATTAATAAATGAGTGTTCACTCATCCTAAGTTGGCTGACGATGACGTAGGTACAAAAGCGTGGTGGAATGTATGGAACATCAGATTTAACGCTGTAAACTCGATTAATAAGAATTACAGAAAGAAAATGTAACTTGTATGAATGCATGGAAATATTGTCGGGTTTTTTTTTGCTGATTTTTGCCTTTGGTTAAACGCCCCACTCAGGTTTAGACTCTAAGGAGTGACCCCTCCACATTGAAAAGCGTGGTTTGGTCGTTGATTCGATGTGGATGCATGATGGAAAGGTATGCGTCGTGAAAATGACAAATTTTAGGACCACTCACTCAACTTGTTTCCAATAAAATTTTCTTGAGCATGGACCAATACTTGGATTCTCCAGCTATACAGATCCGATCATAACCAGCGCTTTTTATATAAGCAATATCAAAGGAGGGGGAATTGAATAGAGTATCAGAGTGTAAAGGTGAAAGCTCTTCATTATTTGAGTTACATACTCCACTACTGGGAATAGGGAGTAGAACACATAACTAGAGAACATATGTAAGTACTCTATTTGAGCTACAAGCCCTCGTGTCGATCGGAGAATGGAGTAGAACACAGGATCATAATGCATATGTGAATGCTCTAGACTACTTGAGCTACAAGCCCTAGTATCGGAAAATTGGGAGTAGAACACATGACCCGAGTGCAGATGTAAATGGTATAGACTACTAAAGCTAAAAACTACTTCTAATCATAGCTAGTGCTTTCAAACTCGACGCATTTCTCTCATTATTACTCACAAGTTACAAGAGAGCATGTATTATACATGTAATTTGCATATATGTCTATATCTATGTACAAAATCATAAACCCCAAAACCCTTACAATGATGTGAACAATAATTTGCAGAGCCAAAAGATGGATCATGTGCATAGAAGGTACCTAAAATTAAACTCATACGGCATTACTTGGACAAATTGTAAAAGAGGCTCATTTTTACCTCTTTCAAGAAGCTTAAGTGCCTCTTTTCCTAGTTCACTTGGGAGCTGAAGGCAGATCCAATCAAGCAATGACTCCAAATCCTTAGCAAAATCAGGTAAATACCAATCCAAAATCTTTGGAATTGCAAACCTATGTGATGAAATTCCAACTGCAGCTTGTAGGTACTCTCTTTTTGCAACTTCCAGTTCATTTTCAACTTGGGATGCAGTGTACACTCTCACCTACATTTTGGCAGAGATCATTTATTAATAATGTCAGTTAGCCGCGTTCATAATTAAATGATAATAGACAGATAGATTTTGTTTATTCCGTGTGTAAACAAACTTACAGAAGGGGAGGACCAGCTGCCACATGATAGCGCAAACGTTACCAATGGTTCGGATAATTCCAATCCGAAAGTATTTCTTGCCGTCATCTCATCATTTTTTGTACCCTTGGAGAAGGTCTGGTCAGGAGTTAAAATTATGATGAGAAATCTTCTCTTATCTATCTTCTATGTGCAAGCAAGTTGAGTCTACTTACATATTTTGAGTGAAAAGGCAATCTCAAGATGAAATGTTCAATCGTTATTGCATTCAGTATGTGTCCCCCAACATTTATTGTCGCCTGATTCACAAGAAACACAACCATATGGTCCATATATGAATTATTGACAAGCAGAAGTAATTCAACAATCTGGTTTGCTATATAAAATTTGTGAAAATTTTGTGTCATAAACAAGACATATTTCATACCTTCTGCATTAGGGCAACAATTATCTCGGGACTCTCAGGTATGCCGTGCTCGAGGAAGGCCTGCAGTATTGAACAATTGCAGCAGATGAAACAATTTCGTAACATAAACTTGACGGGAAACAAACAAGGAAACGAAGACTTGATTACTAAGGCGTAATGGCACACGATTGATCTGAAGTGTTAAATAAGAATCTCTTTTGATGGCTCTTACATACATTCATCATGCAGGAGTTGTATATATTGATCCAGAAGGCAAGCTTCTCCTGATGATTGAGGCTTTGTAAATTTACAGAAGCAAGTTTCCGTAGCAGTAGTCTGCAAATTCAGCCAATAAATATGACTATAAGTACTACTAAAATAATCATCATATCATGCAACAAGGTTGGAAACCAACCAAACATTTCAAAACAGAGAACTTACTTCAATCTGCGGAGTAGGAACAAAGCATTTGCTGTTTGGTTTGGATTAATATTCCGAGCTTCAATTGCGTGTAATTGCTTATATGGACCGATATCTCTTTGTCCAAATTCCAAACAAATATCATAAGGATCCCAATTTTCTGCAGGACCCGAATTCTTAACTGAACTCATTCTCATGAGAATGCTTGATAAGCAATTGATAATATTTTCTGAAATTTTGTTAGGACTGTTATCTCCTGACAACTCCTTATCCGGCATACTAGGAAGTCTTGCTTGCGCACTTTCTTGATCCGCAGTTCTAGTTTCAAACTGAACATGCAACACAAGTGAAACAATGTTCATTGCACTGCAAACGAGTGTAATTAACTTAATGAAATTTGGTAATTTTAGTATGTACCTGTAGTTTCTGAGGCCCTAAACTCTTATCTGCAGCTCTGTGATCGATTGGAGGTCTCTTCGCTGGAGTCCTAACCTGACCTTTATGGATCAAGGCTCTCTCATTGCTCTTCGTAGAATTATTATATGATTGGTTCTCTTTTCCCTGCTTATCATCTGAAACTGCAATTAAGAACATTGAAAATCTCATGGCCTAGAAATTAGCATGTGATTGTTTGATCTCTGGCTGTGACTCCTTTCTCCCATGTTTTCCGTTGGTCAATTTTCAGCAATTAGGATGAACATATTGCTTACCGTAAGAGGATGGACAATCCTTTTCAGTGGAATTGGTAGAATTGTTTCCCCCTTGAGATTGAAATTTGGGATTCTTTATCGGGTACGAATCAGATGAAACAGCTGAGGATGTTTCCATTTTCCTCTTGGAGGTTGAAATGTATACAGCTTCCTGATACAAGTCCTTCCTAAAATGCACTACCTGTTCTTCGAGCTGAACCACCTCCTCTTCCAAAACCGCCACTTCTGCTAGAAGCTCTAATGTCTACAAAATTTAAAATTACAATTGAAATTACTGTCAAAACTTCTTTAAGTTCATTAGTCCTAATTACTTTCTTGAACAATGGACATTGGTGCAAAATACGTGGGTCAAACTAGTTGGCCAGGACAACGAATTTATTTTCCCGTAAATTATAGCATATTAGAATATCGCTTTGTCTACAGGAATAGTGAAGTACTCACATAAGGAGGCAGATAAGGAGGAAGACGAGGAAGAGCTCCTAAGGGTCTTGTAAATGCCCTCTGCAAAGCTCTGTGTACATTCTCTTCATGTCTGAGCTTCTTCTTCAACTTATCAACCTAAACAAATTACAGTGTTCAACTCAATAATCAATACTAATTAAAAAGATAGAGAGCATATGAAATTACGTAACATAAAAAGTAAAAAAAAAAAAAATTCATACGTCTTGTTGTAAAGCCAATTTTCTCTCTCTGCTCGAAGCTCTTCCATTGCTGATTACTTTTCTGGTATCTGTAATCTTAGTCCCTTGCATTGAAACCTTTTCCTTTAAATATACAACAATTAGCTTCCAATACAAAAAACTGAACTGGGCAGAGAAGAAAACTTGTAAAAGTTAAACCCCATGTTGGAAATGGATCAAAGAAGTTAAATTCACTTTCTTGTGTTGAAAACCAGTACAAGGGTCAACGGAGAATGGAAAAAGATACTATATAATTTTCCTGAGAAAATTTCGTGAGGCAGGGGAGATAAACAACTACTGAGATTGAAGCGGAAGAACCATCACGGAAATCTATCTAAAGATGTCAGCAATTTAAAATTTTTTGGGAGGCTCCAAACTTTGAAGCCATGATTTGTGGTGAAAAACGGTTAAAGCTAAAAGTTGAAATGATAACAAATTCGCGCTCCATGGAAATTTTCCATAGGCTCCTCTCACAGTGAAAGCATTAAAAGGCCAAAAAAAAAAAAAAATCCGTTTTTCGAAAATTATGATTAAAAAATGTGAGAAAAGTGCATAACGTAGCTTAGCTCAGAGTTCAGAGTATATGATTTACATTTTTATTCTTCTCAGGTGGCTTCATAGACTGCAGCCTTGTCCTCACTCTGGTGTTCATCTTCCAACTTGTCTGCAAAATTGTTAGCGAACCAATCTAATTACTTCATTAGAGAAACAAACTTTGAAATGAGCAAAATTCAATTAGGATTTTCTAGTAATACTCCGGAGTTTTTGACGGTTAGATTATTGGTCAATGATAAAATGACCAATATCTAACTGCTAAAAACCTTGAAGTATAGATACTTTGGAGCACCGGAGAATTTTCGAAGAAGATGAGTTGAATTGCTATAAAGAGATCAGATTCATACCCTTTTACAGAAAATAGTTCATTCCTTTAAACAAAAACAGAGACAAGAACTTCAAGTTTCAATGCCACTAAACAGTAATCACTCTCCAATCTCTCCTGCCTTCCTCGTTCATGGTGAACTAAAAAGTGCAAAACTAACCAAACCCATGTCACAAATTCTTGGGTATTTGAGCTGGGATGCTTTAGATTAAGCAAAACTTAGAGAGGGAGAGAGAGAGAGAGAGTGAGCGTTGGGTTTTGGATATGCAGAAAGATAAGGGAAAAGAGCATCTAAGAGCAATGTGCAGAGCCGTACAAAAAAACTAGAAGCAAAGTCCACCACAGCAATGGTGCTTTCTCACTTCTTTGCGTCATCATGAACCAACGTGCACCTTTCTCTTTTAAGCTCCTGCAACGTAGCACCGACTCTGCTGCCTTTTATTTCACACCTTCTTCTTCTTTCCCTATTTTTTTTTGTAATTCCGAGAATGCCCCTGATTCATGCCATAACTGTCAAAACTCAATGGGGAAAATACACTAGGAGACATAAATTGTGTTACCAAAGTTATAAAAGTTTGTATTTATGTGTTCATATTTCTAGCAAGATCATGTAGTTGACTACTGGGGAAGACCGAGAGGGATTTATATATTTCTGGTTTTTCCACAATTTATGTGGATGTCAAGTGACAAGTATGATTTGTTGATGCATTAAATAAGATGTGGGGGTGTTTATTTGAAGGCAAAAGCTGCCCAAATCACATGTTTTGCCAACCAGCTAAATGGGTTTTAATCATGGAAAAAGAAATAAAATATATGGGCACTAGCTCCTGGATTGCTTGACCATTCAAGATTTGATTCAGAGTTCAGACTTGTTCTTGTTAATTTACCATGTGTCACCGATTCTTCATTCATGCATGCTTAGTTAATGTTGTTATTTAATTCCTTATGTGCAGACGCTCCAATATTTAATAAATTGGATCCGATTTTCTTATGTTCTTTTTATTGGAGACTATATATATGATAATTATAAAGATCGTTATAATGAGATGGCATGTCATAATAAATGTAAATTTCTCACAGATAAATCGTTTTTTGCACTTGAGAATTACTTCCTTCAACTAAGTGAAGGTAATTACCATTTTCAATTAAGTAAAGTCAATTAATTACCAAAAACTAAAACTGGTTTGTAATATTTATTCAGTTAGGGGAGACAAAAAACTTTGCAGCTGTGAAATACTGAAATTATTGTTGGGGCTTCTCAACTTAGCATCATAATTCAATACTAGGATACAGTTAATTAGAGTAAGAACTTGAGAATTCTAATTAGAGTAATGACAGTACAAAAAAAAAAATTGAAGAAATAGGGACGAAACAAACAATCTTCTTATCTCTAACATAATACGTTATTTATAAGTTGAGGAATAAACTCATCCCCTAAAGGGAATGCAAGTTTTATCCTTTGCAATATTGCACAATCAAAATCGTTCTTATTCTAGTCTATATTTAAAGATCAATCCTACAACAACAAAAAAAAAAAAAAAAAAAAAAAACCAAATTAGAAATCGTTTAATAGTTCAATTGTTGTTGTCAAAATTTTAGTGTTCAACTAAATAACTCATCTATTTATTGGACATGGTTAAGCAATTAAACAATTTCACTTTGGGTAGAACTGATCTTTAAAAGAAAATTGAGAAAATAAACAATTCAAATACAAGAAAGTTCAATGAGAAGGTTGGTAGCATTCATTTTTTATGACTACTACTATTAGAATAATACTATAACGTACTTTCACCATAAAAAATTCATAAAGTAACTGTTCAAAATCTTAATTTTCATGTGAAGATCATGCCTACAAAAATTTTTTCGAAACAGAGTACGTTTAGTCATTTAAATATATCAAATATATGAACATTTAATTACCAAGTAACATATTTAATAAATTAATAAGTCATCAATTAGTTGATAAATTAATAATTAATAATTTATTGATTATTTAATATTTATTAGCTTAACATATTTTTATATCGAAAAATTAATTAGAAATTTAACTGTATAATTGTGATAAGAGATGATCATGCACACATGGGATATTGGAATTGGTGTTCTGAAAGGAAAGCTATCATGATGTTGATGGCAGGAAATTACAAATGTGTGAGTATATAAGTAAAGTGACACAAATCCTCACTGCAAATGCTGGCCCAACGCATGGCCCATTTTAGAAAAATAAAATTCCCAGGATGGTCCAACACTTGCAAAAACAAAGAGAAAAATAAAAACTACAAAATATGGACACGGCATTCCAGCCACGTGAGAGCGATCTCCAGCACAAAATGGGGTGACTGATGCAACCTATTTCAATGCTTATTTGATTACTTAATTATTAGATTAGTTTAATTGTCCATTATCAAGTAACTAATCAACTAATTAATAATTTAGTCGATTATTGTGAAATGACCTCAAGCAACCTCTCTTGGAAGGGTAGTTTCATCATTTTCTTGCAGGACTAGCAAAAGCGTAACGAAACAAAACTCAAATCAGCTATACCTTTCGTGCAAATTAGTTTTTCTTTTAAAAAATGAGATTACTTTCTTTAGCTTCCTTTAAATATTCATTTATTTGTCTTCCAAAAATGGGTAATTGATTTTTTCTGGATTTGCTGAGGAAGTTGGAGCCAGTTTTTTTTTTCAAGAAATGTAAGTAAGGTGGAAAAGATTATGCAAATTATGGCGTCCTAGTAAATGTCATTTTCGACTGCCATCAAATTCATTACTTATCTAATTAATAATTGAATGGAGCTGTTGAACGTGATGGCAATGTGAAGTATATATGCATTAAAGCCGGTTTACATTAATTTAGAGGGGACCTGATGATGTATCTTGCGCTGCAGGAAAAACCAGGACATATAATATACTTTTAGTATTGTTTGTGAGAAATTCTAAAAGTTCTGTTACCCTTTGTTTTAATAAATTTAGGGCGTGTTTGATTGGCTTCTCTAAGTTTTACTGGACTGGCTATGAAACTTAGATCGTGTTTGGTGCAAGCAGGGATTATGTTTAATGAGACTAAGTCGGAGCAAGACCCCCCGAAAAGGAGAGGATTGCTAATCCCGTCTCCTACACTTGCTTTGCTTCATCTCAGGCTCGTCCAGGACTCCAATATTCTTCGCATAGTCCTCATAGCCGTCTAACGATCGACAACGGACCTGCATTATCGTCGAACCCAAATCCCTAAAAGACAAGATATTTGAAAGAACGCTGCCAGAGGAGGGCTGTTGCAAGCGCAACAACGACTAGAAGTGTTCCCAATCCCGCTTCAATGACGACACTACAAGCACAAACCACCACTTCAAAGAGGTCAGACCCAAAATCGAACGGATCTAGGCCAACCAAGCTTGCACATTCGGGATTCCACGCCCACCGAACAAAAACTTGAAAAACCAAGGTCGATTCTTCGTTTTGCATAAATTTTTTTTTTTTGGCAATTAATCGGAAAAAAAAGGGAAGGGAAGGAGAGTGTGGGACAGAGAGAACGAGGGAGATAAAAGGAAGAAAAAGATGGGACTGTGGAGGCTTCCAGAGAGAGTTAGAGGTTTTTTTAGAATAAAAAAAAGGTAGAATTAATTAATATAATATTATTAGATATGAATTAAAAATATAAAATTATAGTTTGGTATTATCCTTCTTTTTAGTCCGACACTGCACCAAACTAAGTCAGTCCAGCTTAGTGTAGTCTTCTCTAAGGCATTCTAGCTTAGTCCCTGAAGTTAGTTCAGTCCGAGATAGTTCCGTGCAACAAATGCACCCTTATATTATTATTGGTAAGGTTTACTAGTGGTGGAGCTAAATTTTCAGTTCATTGGGATCATGATAAGGGAGATATTGTAACATTTTTTTTGTATATATAATTCATGACTCGTTCTTATATTATGGACTCATCGTTGTATGATATCATTTTCAATATCGACACTATTATTTTGACGTATACAATCAAATTATAACTACATATTGATATTCAATATATGATTAGTCTCTTTCACTGTACAATCAAATTTGATTATCATAACCAAATACATCATCTTTTGCGAAAGATCAATCCTTTCAATTGATTGAACTCACTATGAAAGACTATGGATCAATCATTTCAATCGATTGAACTCACTATGAATGACTATTGTTTAATAGAGTGTTTGAGAATAATGGAAATCAAATAAGAAATCAAACGCATGAAGACATAAAACTTAAGCTGAACCTAATTATTGGAAGTTTTTATTGGGATAATGGGGATCAGTAGCAAGAATTATATGGAGTAATATAGAGCTGCTGGGGGTCATGTTATATGTTACATGATAATGCTGATATTATAAAATGTTTATTACACTACTTATGTTGATAGTTACACAATAATTGTATTGTTACAGTATAGATATAAGCTCTACCTTCACGTTTAATGGTATTAAAGTATGACATTAACATTTAACGTCCAAAATACAATAAATGTAAGTTACACTACCATAATCGGCTAATTTTAAAGTCCAACATTACAACAAATAACATAGAATCTCATTACTGTAAAATGCTGATTATTACATTATTCACATCATATTAGTATATAACACTGTAAAAGCAGAACGTGATGCGTCACCTCATTACATTACAAAAGCATCGTTTGATTAAAAGTATCATTACATTTTTTTAAGGAAAACTAATGAAAAAGGCTTGAAAACTTTGAGTTTTAACAATAACGACAAAATAAAGGGTAAAGTGAATAGTACCATAATTGATTTTTTAGTGTAAAAATGTAGTTTTTTATTAAAGTGAACAGTACCAGAAACTTTTCGTTAAAGTTCTTTTTTTTGAAAGGTGTCATAAACTAAACTTTTTCTGTAACAATTATTTTTCTCTTGGCTGTAGTTAAGCATCCTGTAATTTTTCTTTAAATTGTCTATAGTAGATTTGCTGGTTTGACCAACCATAAAGAAAATGAGAAATTGAGAATGGAAAATATAACAATTCTTGGGCATTAGATTTCTATCTATTTGATAAATGACCAAAATTAAGAAAGAAAACTAATGAAAATGGTTTGAAAACTTTAAGTTTTAATCAAAATGATAAAAATGTGTTGTAAGTGAATAATACCATGAATGACTTTTTAAAGTAAAAATGTCATTTTTCTTTAAAATGAACAGTACTGAGAATGTTTTATCAAAACTCCCAAATTAAGAATCGTTAGGGGGGCATTAGACACACAGAAACTATTGCTTGATCATACAACAATTAAGATTTGTTGTTTCAACCGACC